GAGTGATTCTCTTAATGATGGATTCTATGTCCTACACCACATGCTAGAGTACAGACGGGATCACCAGAACCTTTGCATGTCACCTACATCCGGCGATGCCCATATTCTGCAATGGGCAAAGAACGTAGGAGATATCGAGGAGCATCGACTTCGAGTTGAGTTCTATCACATCCAGCGCGAACTTGCCCAAATCATCATGAAGGAGGTCATCGGAACAACAGGGATGTTCTATGAAGAAGGACAAATGTCGCAGGAAGACGACCGAATGCGGGTAGCCGCTCAGCGTCTCGACCTGAAGCCTTTCACTAGGCTCGGGGACTATCTCCCTGACTTGGATGGATGGCACGACATGTTGGAGTGATTGTCGATATATGGCAATGTGTCCGTTTAGTCCATACTTTCTGTATGACGAAACTTTGAGTTATGCACGACGAAACTTTATTTGTGATGTAATTAAACTGTCCTCCTCGACTAGCGACGATCACTCTAGTTAAGGCATTTTGGGTACGATCAACTTTGTTATTTATGCTTATGATATGTTGCTTCTATTTTGCCAAGTCTGTCTCTTTCTGTTGCTCAACTATATATGTTGCATATCATCGACTCATGTGACAATGCAGGTGCATAGATCATCGATGGCGAAGAATTGCTATGCTAGGAGTATATATACGACGAGTGGCCGGAGTGTCAGGCCCAGGTGTACCGGTTTCCAGTTTCCGAGCGACAGGCAGTAGTTAGTTTAGGTTCACGCTAATGCGAGAGAGGGATACGAACTTATGTACTGCATAGTTCCGCCCTCACTCAAAGTGATAGCTCTTCTCGCGTATATCATTGTTTAGATGGATGATGATGTAGTTGCAAGTAATCGCGACTTGTATCGCTATTTTCGAGATGATGACGAGAGACCACTTTGTGTTGGATGATGATTATGACGATGACATGATTTGATGAGACTATTTGTATGTATATGCTATGATTACATTTGTATGTGTATGATATGCTAAAGATTATTGTATAAAGCCTATTCAAATAGAAAACAAATATGCAAAAAAAACAGAAACTAATAAAACCAGCAGTAGCGAGGGGAACAAAGTTAGCTGTAGCGCTGCCTTACCAGTAGCGCTTCCTGCTAAAAAGTGTTGCAGATATTAGCAGCAGTGCTCTGCATAAAAGCGCGCTACTGCTAGACATGTATAGCAGTAGCGTGGGATGACAGGCTCTACTGCTACACGTTAGCTGTAGCGCCTTATCAGTAGCGCGCCATCCCGCGCTACTAATAGGCAAAATACCCGCGCTACTGCTAGGGTTTTCCCTAGTAGTGTAGCAATATTGATGTGTCAAAACAAACTAATAAGTAAGCATCAATTCCCAGACAATCTCCAAAACAAATTCCCAACAAATTCATACTTGTTTCATAGCTGACCTGAAACATGCTCTATTATTGCTTAGATTCGACTGTGGCATTTTTGCTCTCTCAATTGCAAATGGTTGGGAGGGAAGGGACGTTCCAAGATTCACAACAGAGGATGTTCCAAATATAAGGAAGCAGCTGACAAACATGTGGGTTAACACAAAGTGCAACAAGGCTCCATGGGAAGTTGTACTGAAGTTAGCTTATGTTAGTTTTTCTTCATTCATGTTTTTACTAACTTTTCTTGGTCGTGTAAAAACTGAAGTTGTCCAGCATCATTTTTACATGAAGATTATTTGTATCATCAGCATTTTCCAGAAGTCGCCTGTAATTTTTTGAGCAAACAAGGAGTTGCCTGAATCCATTCTCTAACTTGCAACAATACCAAACAGAAATTGCCTACATTGTATGCAAAAATTCAGACATGAAACACCCAGATTTAACTACACCATTTGTTGCCAGTAGGAAATTCAAACTGTAGTATCAGGCAATCCAAACTATATAATCATGGAGTCCAAAATACCAATAGTGTTATCTAGAGCATTTTCGAATCTTACAGCCTTAAAAAGCAACTTGTCTTATTTGCCTGAAAAATTGTAATCCAAATGATAGTAAACAAGGAGGTGCGTACAGAAAATAGTAAATGTCGTTCCTAACATATCTTCGGGCATCTAGTTCTCACTCATTTTTTGTCTTGATAATTGGAACTCCATCTGTTTTTTCATTTTTGTGGTGTTCATCATGCCAATCTTGTGGTGCACAATGCACTATTGTGGTTGAAAGACCCACAATAGCTACACTTGTTTTTCCTCTTCGGATGTAGCTTAAGTGCTGATTGCAAACTTTTCAACTTCGCTCTCCCTTTTTAGCCGATTTTGGGGGGTCTCTA